TGTTAACATATCTGCCAAGTTATCTTTAGTATGGATTTTCTGTATATCCACACTACCCTCTTCCACCTTCTCACGAACGAAGTGATACTGAACCCGTATGTGCTTCGTCTTGGAATGAAATGCTGGATTCTTTGTCAAGTACAAAGCGCTCTGACTGTCACAAAATGGAGTCATTTTCTCTAATTTGTGCCCGAGCTCCTCCAATAACATTTGCAACCATATTGCCTCTTTACTAGCTTGAGTAGCCGCAATATATTCTGCTTCCGTCGTTGAAGTTGCCACAACCGACTGCAACTTCGAGACCCAGCTTACTGCTCCGCCAGCAAGAGTAAACACATAACCCGTGGTGGATTTACTACAATCAAGATTACCTGCATAATCTGAATCAACATAGCCTTTAATGACGAAGTCTGATCCTCCATAACACAATGCAATATCTGAGGTACCCTTGATATATCTAAGGATCCTCTTCACAGCACTCCAATGCTCTCTACCAGGATTCGCCATGTATCGACTGACCGCTCCCACTGCCTGTGCAATGTCTGGTCTAGTGCAGATCATAGCAAACATCAAACTACCCACTGCTGATGCATACGGTACTCGAGACATCTCCATCCTCTCTGCTTCGTTGCTAGGACTCATACTTGAGGATAACTTGAAATTAATAGAAAGAGGGGTAGAAATTGGCTTACAATCTTGCATGTTGAAGCGCCGCAAGATTTTCTTCAGATAATTCTTCTGAGAGAGCCAAATCTTTCTATTATTTCTGTCTCGGTGAATTTGAATCCCTAGAATCTTGTTTGCTGGTCCCAAGTCCTTCATTTCAAATTCCCTAGCCAGTTGAGCCTTCATCTCCATGATACGATCATTGTTGGGGCCTACTACCAACATGTCGTCAACATACAACAGCAAGATGATAAACCGATTATCATCATCATCAAATCTCTTGTAGTATGCACAAGGATCTGAACTAAATCTGTTGTATCCAAGGCTCAAAATGAATGAATCAAATCTCTTATACCAACATCTCGGCGCCTGTTTGAGACCGTATAGAGATTTGGTTAACCTGCAAACCAAGTTCCTTTTTCCTTCTTCTTCAAAACCTTCTGGTTGGAGCATAAAAATTTCTTCTTCAAGTTCTCCATGTAGAAACGCAGTTTTCACATCCAACTGCTCAAGATACAAGTCATACACAGCACACATCGCTAGGACTGCTCGAATCGTTGTAAGTCGTACAACAGGAGAAAATATCTCGTTGAAATCAACTCCTTCCTTCTGAGCAAATCCTTTCACAACTAATCGAGCACGATACCGTTCCACTTGGTTGTTGCTATCTCGTTTGATCTTATAGACCCATTTGTTTCCAATAGCCTTCCTTCCTTGTGGTAACGGGACAAGTTCCCATGTTTTATTCTTATGGAGAGCTTCGATTTCTTCTTGCATTGCTGTCATCCACAGAGATGCATCTGAACCTTTAATAGCCTCATGGTAAGTTAAAGGCTCACCATCTTCTGTTAGTAGACAGTATGCAATATTTCCCTCCATAGAATAATCTGAGTGCCAAGCTGGTTGCTTCCTCTCCCGAGTTGATCGTCGAACTTCTGAAGTTGAAGACTCAGCTTGCTCTTGTTCATCATGCTCTATTGTTGTCTCAGGGGAAACTGGAATTTCTTCTTCCTTCCTTCCCTCAACTTGTACTGTAGTTGTCACTGGTTTCTCATTCCCAGTGCTTTCACCTTCTTGTACCTTCCCTTCTACAAATAGAACATCCCTGCTGATGATAACCTTGTGGGCAGTGGGATCCCACAGGCGATACCCCTTCACTCCATCAGCATACCCCAAGAAAACACATCTTCTTGATTTTGGATCAAGTTTTGATGTTTCTTGGGCGTTGTATATCACATATGCCGGACTCCCAAATGTATGTAAGTGAGAATAACTAGATGGCTTACCCGTCCACATCTCCATTGGCGTTTTCAGATCAATTGCGGTTGATGGTGACCGATTGATCACATAACAGGCGGTCTTGACTGCTTCAGCCCAAAATGAATTTGCCAAATTTGCAGTCCTCAACATTGCTCTTGTTCTTTCCAACAAGGTTCTGTTCATCCGCTCTGCCACTCCATTTTGTTGTGGAGTATACGCCACTGTGAACTGTCGTTTGATACCTTCTTGCAAACAGAACTTACCAAATTCATCACTAGTATATTCTCCTCCATTGTCCGACCTCAAACACTTGATCCGTTTCTCGGATTCAAGTTCCACACGCGCTTTGAAGAATTTGAAAACTTCAAATACATCCGCCTTCTGTTTGATTGGATACACCCAACATCTCCTCGAGTAATCGTCGATGAAGGATACAAAATATTTTGCACCTCCCAGGGATATAACTGGTGCTTGCCAAACATCAGAGTGGATCAGCTCCAAGATAGCCTTGCTCCTTGCTTTAGAGCTCTCGAACTTCAATCTATGCTGCTTACTTGTAACACAATGCTCACAAAAGGGTAATGATACCTTTGTTAGTCCTGGAAGAAGATGTTGATCAGCAAAAATCTTTAGACCTCGTTCCGACATGTGGCCAAGTTTTTGATGCCACAACATCGTTGATTCCTCTATAAGATTGTCTGCTGCAACGGCTGCTTCTCCTTGTAGTTGTGTTTCTCCTTTAAGCATGTATAGATTGGCTGCTATCTTCTCAGCTTTCATCACAACAAGCGCGCCCTTGATTACTTTGATGATCCCATCCTGAATGTGAATTTTACATTCACGGCTATCTAATTGTCCTAGAGACAATAGATTTTTCTTCAGGCCCTTCACGTGTCGTACCTCTTGGATAGTGCGAACCGTACCATCAAACATTTTTAGTTTGATAGTACCTAAGCCAGCAATCTCTAAGGCATGGTCGTCTCCCATGAACACAGATCCTCCAGATACAGGTTCATATTCATGAAACCATTCTTTCCGTGAGGTCATATGCCATGTTGCTCCCGAGTCCATTAGCCAGACATTAGCTAGACTTTTCCTGCCTTCAACAATTGTTGCTGCTTCGCCAAATAAAACTTCGCATTCATCCGTTGTACTCACAACACATCCCTGAGCATTTGATGTCTCGGGATTTTTGCCTTTGGTCTCATCCTTCTTGAGTTGCCAACACTCATTCTTGTAGTGCCCCTTTTTGCCACAGTGAAAACACTTGACATTCTTCTTACCCCTTGACTTTGATCTACCTCGGTTGTGACTCCCACTGGAGCCAGGCACCGTTGATCTTCCTCTCGTCACTGTCAACGCCTGGAATTGTTGTGAAATTCCAACTTTGTCTTCTTTGTTTTTGCGCCGACTTTCCTCTTCAAGAACCGCAGCTGCAATATCATCGAAGACAAGTATCTCCTTGTTGTTGACTAAATTGATAATGAGTTGATCATATGAATCCGGTAGACTTTGGAGTAAGATTTCAGCACGTTCATTCACTTCTATTTTATAACTCAACGCCGAGAGTTGTGAAAATAGAGTGTTGAGAGTGTTGATGTGCTCAGTTACTGAGGATGTCTCCATCATCCTGAGAGTGTATAATTTCCTCTTCAAGAAGATCTTGTTGTGCAGTGATTTGGCCTCATACAAATTTACGAGAGTATCCCATACCTCTTTTGCCGTACCTTTTTCCGCCACACTTGACAAAACTTCATCAGCAAGTGCTAAGTGCAGATTGGCAATAGCGTTGCTATCCATTTCTGTCCACTTCGCATCGTCAGTGAAATCGGCCGGTCTTTCTTCAATTGCTGCTACGCAGTTATCTTTCCTGAGAACTGCTTTCATTCTCATTTTCCACAAAGAGAAATTGTTCCCTTTGAACTTTTCGATCTCGTACTTGGCCGCCATTGTAAGTGGTGTTCTTGATTCAAATCCTTAACAATATATCTAAATAGTATTGTATAATAGAATAATACCGACCGTGTGAATTTACCAGTATTTATTCTAACATAAACAATACAAAAAAGATATATCTATGAACCAACCTGAGGCTCTGATACCACTTGTTAGGATCGAAACTGGTTCACAACACCAAATTTACAATAGCAACTTGAACTGGAAAATATTGAGAATAAATTCTAGTGTAAGATTTAAAATAAATCATACACAGAGGAAAGAAAATTGAAGAAGAATTTTTTTCTGTATTGGCAAAAGGATAAAACAATAGGAATTACAAATATAACTCTCTATTTTTCTCTACAGAATTTTTCTATACTCTCTGTATATTTCGTATGAGATGAGAAAGGATGGGATGGGATAATCTGATGAAGGATGCTGCCTATTTATAACACCAGGAAGGTCTAGAGAATTCTTAAGCATTTAATATAATATTAAATGCCTAGAACTTGCCATGCAAGAAAAAACTTCTCCTGCAAATTTCCCCAAAGCAAATCTAGCCCCTTAGGAAACCTCCTCCCAAGTCCCTTAGGCAAATCTCCACCCAAGTCTCTTAGGCAAACCTCCACCCAAGTCCCTTAGGCAAATCTCCACCCAAGTCCCTTAGGCAAACCTCCACCCAATTCCTTTGGGAAATCTCCTCCCAAAATTATCCCAGGCAAACTTCTGCCCATTCCACATTATGAATTTAATATTTACATCTCCCAGCTTCCCTCCGTCACTACCGGCGCCGCTTAATCTGTTGTAGTGGGCTTGATTGTAATTATCAGTAACAAGTTTGGCCGGTGCCATTTTTATCAGAAGAAGAAAAACCAAGAATGGAGAAAAAGAACCAAGAAGAAGGATGGAGAAGAAGGAAGAAGAAGGAAATTACCAATTTGTCCCTAAATTAAAAAAATTAAAATAAATTAAAAGATTCCGATCACATTTGGCCGGTAATTTGACTGGCGTGACCAAAATTGATAAGAATTGCATAGTCAAGGTACTAAATTAACATTTTCAAAAGTCAAGTGTTGCAATTAACATAACTGCAATAGTCAATGGATCAAAATTGAAATTTTCTATATATATATATATATTGTTATAAAACCACTATTTATGGACATTTGTATTTGTAACGGAATGTAACGGATGTAACAGTTGTATACATTTATTGTATTTATTACATTGAGTCCTTTATATTCTGTACTCTTGTAAACTAAAGAAATGAGCTAATGAGAATACAGAATTCATCTCACATATATCTCTACTCTTTTCCTTTGCTTTCTTTTGCTTTTGTTCTTCAAGCGTTCACCAAACTCAAGGAGTCTAAGGCCAACTAACCTGCATTACAACACGTTATCAGTACGCTCTAACCCCCGGTGAACGGTATTTTTCTATTTTCTTATATATATCTTATTTTTTTTCGGATGCCTGAGATCACATATGTTTATTCTTTATGCTTTTGTGAATTTATGAAAGCATGATCATATGATTATATGTTCCTTTTGGTAATATATATATTTCTGCATCCGTAAATATGTATTTTTATATCCATATACTTGCTATAGTATTTTTTTTAATGCTTATGATATTATATGCACTGTTTTTTTAACATTTTTTTTCCAGAATACGAAAAAAAAAAACCCTTTTCTTTTACTGTATCCCTTTTCCGATTAAACCTTTGTTAAGGTAATCTTGTCGATCTGGCTCTCATAATCATGTTTTTTTTCAAATCAACATAGAGATAAATAAACATAGATTGTTCATAGTTGATTTGTTTAAACTAAAAGAACCAATAAATAATTTCTATGAAGAATTGAACACAAATTTTTATGGTTATTATCAACCAAATTTTTAAACAATTGTCTAATTAACTTTGAGTGGATATGATTAAGCTTATCCCAGACATTTGTGTATGCATGTGTTTCACTATCTAGCAATGGTATCATATTTCTCATTTTTTTCTTTCTGCTTAAATTTTTCGAATAAACTGTATATAGAAATTTTCTACACATAAATTTTTTTTGATAAACAAATTTCTCGTTTTTTTTAAAAAAGTGTATATATACATATACTTTTACAGAAATTTGTACATGCTTGTATGCTTATATATATTTTTTTAGATTATATGCTCTGTATATGAGTTAAGCATCCCAGATTTATATACAAAAATCGAAGAATATCTATAGATTTTTTTTCTTCGAACTTCATACCTGGATCCGTGTGGATTTTCTTTCGATCTACGATCCGTCCCTATCCTGTACGGTCAGGGATGGCGGCAACGCTGGTTGATGACGATCGGCATCGATTCGCACGATCGGAGACAGCGGCGGCAACGCTGCTCGGCGATAGAAACCGGTGGCTGGAGGTGGCGGAGACAACCGACTTCCTCCCGCGGTAATGGCGACCGTCGGTGGCTCGCGAAGATGGTGGCTGCGGTGATGGCGATCGATGGTTGAAGGCCTCTTCTTTTTCCCCTTCGGTTTAATTGAAAGAGGTGGCATAACATAAATGCCTCATCTTTAGCCTAATAAACGCAGAAGCGTTTTTTTTCCTCTTTATGGCCTAGGGTTTTCTATTAAAGCCCTCCTTTTCTTGCATATTTCTATTTTGGACCAGTGTTTTCATTTTTGGACCACCATCATTCATGGGCTATTTTTTTTCTCATTCAAGCCCCTAATTTATTTGGACCATTTTTTTTGGGGCATGATATATAATATTTTCTTTGGGCCTTTCATTTATTGAAATAAACTAGGCCACACATTCCATTTTTTTATGGTCCTCATTCAAATATTTTCTGTAGAAATGGCTGCTCTCGCAAAACGAGAATTCGCTGAACTCGCCCTCGATGGAAGCAATTTCCTCACTTGGGCACTTGATGTTGAGATATATCTCCAATCTACAGAACTGCTGGACACCATTGAAGAGACATCTACGAGCACTGCAGCCCAGAAGGCAAAAGCGCTCATTTTCCTCCGCCACCATCTCAACCACGACCTCAAGAATGAATACTTAACAGAAAAAGACCCCTATGTCCTCTGGAAATCTCTTAATGCACGCTTTGACCAACAGACGTCATTGGTCCAACCCCAGGCCCAACATGATTGGCTTAACCTCCGATTTCAAGACTTTAAGTCTGTGACTGAATACAACTCCGCCCTACACAAAATTGTGTCACAATTAAAGCTCTGTAAGCAAATAATTACGGACGAGGATCTAATTGAAAAAACTCTATCCACGTTCCATCCAAATGACCTTGTGCTCCAGAAGCAGTACAGGAATACAAAGTATAATACGCATCCAGAGCTCATTACTGATTTACTGGTGGCTGAAAAGCATAGCCAGTTATTGATGCATAATCACAATGCACGTCCAACTGGCGCTGCACCTGTGCCTGAAGCACACACTGTTGCCCAGCAGAGCGACAATCGGCAGGGTCGAGGCCGGGGAAGGGGGAGAGGTCGTGGCAGGGGCCCAAAGCGAGGTGGCAGAGGGGGAGCTAGCGGTAGTAACTCCCGTCCTCAGAACAAGCAAACTCAAAGAAATGGACCAAACAAGTCACAACAGAACTCTGGTCAGTCGCAACCATGTTATAAATGTGGTTGCAAAGGACATTGGTCTAGGACATGCAGGACTCCTAAACATCTGGTCGAGGCTTACCAAAAGATGCTCCAGCAAGAAGGATGACAAAAGAAGAAAGATTCTGGGCAATCATCTTTGCCTGAAGCAAATGCCCTCATCTTAGGGAATGATGACCTGCTAGGCGATGAACTAGCTGATTATGGAGATCAGGAGTGATACTCCTATTCTTTTCTCTCCTTTTTCTTATGGACATCCATTTTACTTCATGCCTGCGTGCATGTTTATATTTGAACTCCTTTGTCCTATATGAATAATGGATCCCTTATCTTTGAACTCTTTTGTTTTTTTTTGAATAAATACAATGGATTCTTCTTAGACATTATCTTGATACCCATTCCTTTTTCTTTAGAGATATGGGAGATGAATCAACCCTATGCTTGGTTGATTGTGCGACTACGCACACTATTCTGACAGACCGGAGATTTTTCCAAACGTTCAAGGAACATAAAGGCAACCTTTCAACCATAGCGAATGATGACATCCCTATTGTGGGCTCCGGCAGAGCGTCACTTATTCTTCCTAAAGGAACAAAGTTGATCATTGATTCAGCCCTCCTATATCCTCAATCAAAAAGAACTTTGCTCAGTTTCAGGGATATTCGGTCCAACGGTTTCCACATAGAAACTAAAACTAAAAACAATACCGAATTCCTTGTTTTGACCAAAACGGTCAATAACCAGAAAAAGGAAATTGAAGAACTTCCTTCCTTTTCTTCAGGCCTGTATTATTCATATATCAGGCCCCAGCACTCCTGCGTTGCACTCGCAGTAAAGTTTAAAGATACACATTCTTTCAGTCTATGGCATGACCGCTTAGGTCACCCTGGGCAAACAATGATAGGCCGGATTCTTTCAAATTCAACTGGACATAACCTTCTTAGGACAAACATTCTTTCTACAAAAGATTACACATGTGTTCCATGTGCACAGGGAAAACTTATTGTTCGTCCCTCGCGTCCTAAGATTGGTTTTGAGTCACCTGTCTTCCTGCAGAGGCTACAGGGTGATATTTGTGGACCAATTAATCCTTCATCCGGACCATTTCGATATTTTATGGTCCTTATTGATGCTTCCACCCGATGGACACATGTGTGTTTGTTGTCCACTCGAAATATGGCATTCGCAAAATTCATAACCCAAATCATTAGGTTGAATGCCCAATTTCCCGATTATCCTATTAAGAACATAAGAATGGATAATGCTGGTGAATTCACTTCGTCAGCTTTTGACGATTATTGTATGGCCATGGGAATTAAGGTGGAACATCCTGTACCATACGTCCACACCCAGAATGGTTTAGCTGAATCTCTTATCAAAAGAATTAAACTAATAGCTAGACCATTACTACAACGGTCCAGTCTACCAGTAAATTGTTGGGGACACGCAGTGTTGCATGCTGCAAACCTAATTCAACTCCGGCCAACTGCATATCACGATTATTCCCCTCTACAACTTGTACGTGGTAATGAGCCAGACATTTCCCATTTGCGTGTCTTTGGCTGTGCGATTTACGTACCTATACCACCTCCGCATCGTTCTTCAATGGGCTCGCAACGTCAATTAGGTATTTATGTTGGGTATGAATCCCCTTCTATCATTAAATACCTCGAGCCTATGACAGCAGATCAGTTTACTGCACGGTTTGCTGACTGCATTTTTGATGAAGATCATTTCCCGGCATTAGGGGGAGAGAAAAACCCAGTTTTGAAAAAATGCCACGAAATTTCATGGGATGAAAAAGATCTTCAATATCTTGACCCACGTACTAGTCAAACTGAACTTGAAGTTCAGAAAATAATAAATTTGCAAAAACTAGCAAATAATCTGCCAGATGCGTTTACTGATTATAAAAGAGTAACTAGGTCCTATATTCCTGCAGAAAATGCTCCATCAAGGATAATTGTCCCCAAAGGACCAAATAATAACACCGACACTATCCGACGCCAGAAGCGTGGAAGACCAGTTGGTGCAAAAGATGTAAATCCGCGGAAAATTAAAAACAATAAACAATCACAGTTACTCCAAAATCGTCCTGAAGACGAAATACCCAGTGTAAATGCACGTGCTACAAATAAATCTAACACTGGGAATACGGAACACCTTCACCAAGATATGATAGCAAATGAGAAAGACTTGGTTGAAGTAAATATAGAATCTGCCATAAACTTTTTCGAAACAGGAGAAAATCTTAATAGAAATGTAACAGTCGTCGACGACCAATTCGCCTCTACAATTGCTCTTCACATTTCTTTCAATAATCTGGATCCAGAACCAAAAATTATAATGGAGTGCCGGAAGCGCTCCGATTGGTTGAAATGGAAAGAAGCAATTGAGGCTGAGCTCAACTTGCTAAATAAAAGAAAAGTGTTTAGTCCTCCTGTACTTACCCCTAAAGGCGTGATCCCAGTAGGATCCAAATGGGTATTTGTACGAAAGAGGAATGAACAAAATGAGGTGGTCAGATACAAAGCGAGACTGGTAGCTCAAGGGTTCTCACAGAGACCCGGAATAGATTTTGAACAAACTTACTCTCCTGTCTTAGATGGCACATCGTTCCGTTATCTAATATCGTTGGCAGTAAAAATGAATTTAGAAATGCAGTTAATGGATGTTGTGACCGCATATTTATATGGGTCACTAGACGCTGACATATATATGAAAGTACCTGAGGGCATCCAAAATCCTTTATGTAAAGGAAATACAAATAAAAATATGTTCAGCGTAAAGCTACAAAAGTCATTATATGGCTTAAAACAATCAGGAAGAATGTGGTATTGTCGATTGAGTGAATTCCTCTTAAAACAAGGATATGAAAATAAAGATATTAGTCCTTGCATCTTTACAAAGAAATCAACTGATGGTTTCTGTATTATATCAATCTATGTAGATGATATAAACATCATAGGGACGAGCAAGGACGTCAAGAGGGCATGCTTGTGCCTAAAGGAGGAATTCGAAATGAAAGACTTGGGAAAAACCAAGTTCTGTCTCGGCCTGCAGATCGAGCACCTCCCTGAAGGAATATTCATACACCAATCCAAATACACAGACAAGTTATTGGAAAAATTTTACATGGATAAGTCCCATCCACTTAGTACTCCAATGGTAGTCCGATCACTTGAAGTTGATAAGGACCCGTACAGACCTAAAGAGGATAATGAGGATATTCTAGGACCAGAAGTTCCTTACTTAAGTGCCATTGGAGCACTTCTATACCTTGCCAACTGCACTAGACCTGATATTGCATTTTCAGTAAACATGCTAGCTCGTTTTAGTGCTGCTCCAACCAGAAGGCATTGGAATGGCATAAAACACATCCTCAGATATTTGCAAGGTACAAAGGATCTTGGCCTTCTATTTAAAAGAAACCAAGACACCACATTAGTGGGATACGCGGATGCTGGCTTTATGTCTGATCCGCATAATGCTAGATCTCAGACTGGATATGTGTTTCTTTCTGGAGGTACTGCTATTTCATGGAAATCAGTTAAACAAACATTAGTAGCTACCTCCTCAAACCATTCTGAGATTATTGCCTTATACGAGACCTCCAAAGAATGTGTATGGTTGAGGTCATTAATACACAATATTCAAGACTCGTGTGGAATAATGAATAATGGAAAGATCCCCACTGTCCTGTACGAGGACAATGCAGCATGTGTTGCACAAATGAGTAATGGATATGTTAAAGGTAATCTCACCAAACATATTACACCAAAATTCTTTTATCCACATGAACTCCAGAAGAGTGGTGAAATACGAGTCCAAAAGATCCAGTCAAGTGAGAATCTGGCAGATTTATTTACTAAGTCCTTACCTACATCTATTTTTGAAAAGTATGTATACAAAATTGGTATGCGTAGATTAGGAAGGCTGTTGTCTTTAGGGGGAGCAACAACATCTTGAATGTAACAAAATTATTAATCTAGAAGATCAATTTATTCACTTTGATCCAGAAGATCAAGACTTATCCTTATGTTTTATACCTAAACCCAGAAGGTTTACAGTTGTACTCTTTTTCCCTTTGCTGAGTTTTTTTTCCCACAGGGTTTTCTCAGTGTAAGGTTTTTAATGAGGCAACCAAAGCAACACATGCATTATCCATATATCATGTACTCTTTTCTTGACTAGGTTTTTCCCACAGGGTTTTTCTAGCGAGTTTTTAACGAGGCATGATTATGGCAAAATAATGTCCAAGGGGGAGTGTTATAAAACCACTATTTATGGACATTTGTATTTGTAACGGAATGTAACGGATGTAACAGTTGTATACATTTATTGTATTTATTACATTGAGTCCTTTATATTCTGTACTCTTGTAAACTAAAGAAATGAGCTAATGAGAATACAGAATTCATCTCACATATATCTCTACTCTTTTCCTTTGCTTTCTTTTGCTTTTGTTCTTCAAGCGTTCACCAAACTCAAGGAGTCTAAGGCCAACTAACCTGCATTACAACATATATATATATATATATATATATATATATATATATATATATATATATATATATATATATATATATATATATATATAAAAGGTGAGTTAGGTGGAATTATAGGTGGGTTTTATATATAGAACCCAAATTTAACTCCACCCACCGTAAATTTTAATTTTTTTTAAGACTTACACTTAACCCACGACTTACTAAAAAAAAAAAAAAAAAAAACAGTAAGCAATAGAAATTGGATTTGTCTAAATATTTACAAGAGAAATTGAAATTGACATCCTATATATTACAATAATGTCACAATGTGGAATATGGGATTATGTCATTATATTAAAAAATATTACTCCATATTATATTTCCAAGTTGACTGCGAGTCATGGCAAATTATGCCGTGAGCACGTGCCCACCTTGAAAGGTGTGTATAGTTTCATATCCATAATTTCTATATTGTAGATTAATAATTTTTATATTGTAGATCCATAATATTTATACTGTAGATTCATAAAATTTATACTTTAAATTTTAATTGTTGAATTCTGTTTTCACAAATCAGAGAACTATATGTTAATAATTTGATAACTATACAGTTTAGAAATTATGAATTTACAATACAGAAATTATGAATCTATAGTGAATTTGTAGTATAGAAATTATGAATTTACTATATAGAAATTATGAATCTACTGTATTTAAATTATGAATCTATTATTTAAAAATTATGAATCTAAAGTATAAATTTTATGAATCTACAATATAAAAATTATGGATTTACAGTAAAAAATTTATAAATCTACAATATAAAAATTATAGATATGGAATCCTGCCTATCTTGCAAGGTGAGCACGTGCTAATAGTATAAATTCGCGCCCACCTTACAAGGTAAGCATGTGCTCATAGTATAACGTTCCGCAAGTCATTGCGCAAGTTGTATTACGAAGTCTACCGTTTACTCGAGTCAACAAATTGATGTCGTTGTTTAAACGCAACGACTTGGTGAAAGGACATAAAGGCGCATTCGTCCAGCTGAGCACTGATAGATAGATACAAAGAATCGCCTATCACTTTGTCTCCAATTGAAGCGACAGCAAGATGAAAACAAAAATGAAGTGGAGCCACTATAACACAATTATCAAAATAATCATATCCAACCATTCAAAATGACAAAATGGAGGGACCTCCAATTAGCCATATATCCACTTCAATGGAAGACCACTAGTATAATGATTGCATTGGAGCATTCCCACCAGGCACCAACCCATAAATTGGCTTTTTGTAAGAAGATGGCAATCACACTGGAAAGAATAACAGGTTTTGAGGTTTATCAACACAATTTTGAGAACCGACAGTTCATACTTTCTAAAAAGAAAACCTCAAAATCAGTGCCAGAATGCCAATGGAAACCTTATCATCATCAACCCAAATCCTCCTCCTCGCAGTCTTTATCTTCACATTTCCTTTATATGTAGAGTCCCAAACTAGTGACACCGCTTCTGAAAGATCGATTCTTCTTGATATAAAGAAGCACTTTTCAAACCCACCAAATATCTCTCACTGGACTTCATCATCAGACCACTGTACATGGCCGGAAATTACCTGCCGGAACGGCGTGGTCACCGGAATTCACCTTGGTGGGCTACTTATCAATAATCACACAATCCCACCCTTCATCTGTGACCTGAAAAATCTGACCCTTCTTGATCTCAACAGCAACAATATCCCTGGACCATTTCCTAAAATTCTGTACAATTGTTCCAGCCTTGAAAACTTGGACCTTTCTTTTAACAACTTCAATGGCATCATCCCTGATGATATTACCAAGCTTTCGCCTCGGCTCCAGGTTCTGAATCTGTCTGCTAACGGGTTCATGGGTGGAATTCCAGCTGGAATTGGAGGCCTGAAAGGTCTAAAGGAGCTTCAGCTAGCTGGAGTGGTGACAAATGGCTCATTCCCTTCAGAGATTGGCAACTTGTTGAATCTTGAAGTTCTTGTTCTGAACTGGAATACGTTTTCACCACAGGAAATCCCACCAAGTTTTACCCAGTTGAAGAAACTGAGAATCCTCTGGATGCAACACGCCAATTTGATCGGCAAAATCCCAGAAAATATCAGTGCCATGGAAGCTCTAGAGTTCCTGGATTTAAACACAAATGACTTGAGTGGAAACATTCCCAGTGACTTGTTTCTGCTCAAGAATTTGACCACGATTTACCTCTACAAGAACCGGTTGTCAGGGCCTATTCCTCGCCCAGTTATGGCCTTGAATTTGAATGTGATTGATTTTTCTAATAACACCCTGACAGGGAGCATTCCAGAAGACTTCGGACATCTGGCAAAGTTGGGGGGATTGTCCTTGTTCATGAATCAATTATCAGGCCAAATACCAGTAGGCTTAGGGAGATTGCCAGCATTGTCTACTGTTAAAATTTTCAAGAACGATCTGTCAGGTGAACTCCCACCAGATTTTGGTCGATTTTCGATGCTTCAAGTTTTTGATGTTTCCACAAACCATCTTACAGGATCACTCCCAGATGGTTTGTGTGATAATAAGGTGTTGTCTGGCATGTTTGTCTTTGACAACAATCTCACCGGTCTGCTGCCAAAATCACTTGTGGATTGCAACACCTTGACAGGAGTCAGGGTTGAGAGAAACAATCTTTCTGGTACAATTCCTGATGGTTTGTGGACAGCTAGGAATTTGACAAGGTTGTTGATTAACAATAACCAGTTCACTGGTCAGCTTCCACAAAAGGTGGCATCAAATTTATCTCTAGTTGATCTCAGCAACAACCGGTTTTCGGGTGAAATTCCACCTGAAATCTCTTCTTGGAGCAACCTAGAGACCTTCAGGGCAAGCAATAATCTCTTGAAAGGTAAAATTCCTCAAGAACTCACGGCTCTTGGATCTTTATCAGTCCTTATGCTTGATGGGAATATGCTTTCTGGAAATTTTCCTTCAAATATTATATCTTGGAAGTCATTGTCCACATTGATATGCAGTAGAAATCAGCTTTCCGGTACAATCCCTCCAGCACTAGGTCTTTTACCAAGCCTTAATCAGCTAGACCTGTCTGAAAACCAATTCTCCGGGGAAATCCCACCTGAAATAGGTCGTTTGAACACAGCTTCGTTCAATCTGTCCTCCAATCATCTCTCTGGGAAAATCCCTGATGAATTTGAAGTTGCAGCTTTTCGAAAGAGATTCTTGAATAATACTGGTCTCTGTGCTACTACCCCCTCATTAGGCCTCAGGGATTGTGGAACAAAAACTGTGAAATCCAACAAGATTTCAGCCAAACTTATTGCCATTCTAGGAAGTATAGCAGCCTTTTTATTTGTAGTGGTCATTCTATATATGGGGTATGTGTGCATAAGTTACAAAAAAAGAAAACGAGCATTATCGGTTAAAGATTGGAAGCTCACACCATTCCACACTTTAAGCTTCACAGAATCAAACATCATACCAAATTTAAAAGAGAAAAATGAGGTTGGGAGTGGTGGATCAGGGAAAGTTTATGTTGTGCCATTGAGTAATGGAGAGAAAGTTGCTGTCAAAAGGATTTGGAGCAACCACAAGCTGGATGAGATGCTTGAGAAGGAGTTTCAAGCAGAAGTTGAGATACTGGGCACAATTCGTCATTCCAACATAGTGAAGCTTTGGTGCTGCATTTCAAGTGAAGAATCAAACCTTCTTGTTTATGAATACATGGAAAATCGCAGCCTCGACCTATGGCTTCATGCAAAAAGAAGACCACCCGGGCAATTCCTGGATTGGCCTACTAGGCTACGCATCGCAATTGGAGCTGCTCAAGGGCTGTCCTATATGCATCACAATTGCTCACAACCAATTGTTCATAGAGATGTGAAATCCAGCAATGTTCTTCTAGATTCAGAGTTCAATGCCAAGATTGCAGATTTTGGCCTCGCCAGAACATTGATAAAGCATGGAGATCCCAACATAGTGTCCACAGTTGCTGGCTCCTTTGGCTATATAGCTCCTGGTAAGTTTGCAGACTTTAAAACCTTCCCATTTTTGTCATTCATTCCGAAAAGTTTCTCATTTCAGTCTTTGACCTTATGACTAACCTTACTTTAATGCTTATTCCAGAGTATGCACACACTAGAAAAGTGAATGAGAAGATTGATGTGTATAGTTTCGGGGTGATACTTCTGGAACTGGTGACGGGAAGAGAGCCGAACGATGGAGATATGGATTGGTGCCTAGTTGATTGGGTGCGATACTACGTTCAAGAAGGAAACCCCATTGAGGATGCTTTAGATGAGGAAATAAAGGAGGCAGGGAACATTGATGAGATGTGTGGAGTGTTCAGGCTGGGGATATTCTGTACTGGTGCAAATCCTGCTAAAAGACCCGCTATGAGAGAGGTGTTGAGGTTCCTCCTGGATTGCAGCTCTCAATCAGGAAATGGAAAAGAAATAAGTGTTAGTGAGCGCGATGTTTCACCGCTTCTCAAGTGTTGTAGTAGTGAGGGGATATTGGAAGATGGAGATGATGGTTTAAAGCCAGGCCAGTTGTAGTTTCAACATCAAGAGTCTGTCAACCTGGGGTGTGATTGAGTGACAAAGACTCATTCATCCTTAGCCAAATGTCAAGTGTTTGATCATTGGACATTGGTCTATTGAGAAATTCAGAAAGTAGAACAACAGAGGGAGAAAATCAATATACGTGTATGGGAGTTTCTTCTGCAATTTCATAGGATTCATGGATGCAGGTAAGTCATATCTCTCTAAGTACTTCATATTTTGTGTAAATCATCACAAAGTTAATATAGTTTAGTCGCATGTTTTATGGCCTGAGATGGCTTCCTAGCTATAATTATTTTTTTTGGTCATAAAAGGCGTTTTTGATCATTATTATATAACTTTAGATTGTGATATGTCATTTATTTCCTTTATTTTTGTAAATTGACTGTAAGTGTTTTTTTTTTTTTTTTTTTTTTGGACAATAACATTTTGTAGAATTGCAGCATATGTGTATTCTTATTATTCCGCATCAAGTTATTCTGCAAAAGGCAAAAACTTGTGTGACAATCTCATGGATTATTGTTTACGAGATCAGACGAGCCGGATGGTAGACAACTGAGCAAGTAAGTATCAAAATTTCAGTTATACGTATTACAATATTTATTATTAGAAACAATCAATTTTATTCTAAATAGTATCACAATTTCAAATATATGTATTACAATCTATCTACAAATCTAATAAGAGCCAATAATGTTAGGCCTGGAACAAAAAAATGACTGTATAATTGTTTCTTAAAATGAATGGTTCATATTATTTTGATTTTAGTATTTTTTTTTAATGATTTTTCTTATTTACCCTCCATTATATTATTTTATTCCCTTAAATAACCCTAAATTCCGTTAAAACATTTATTATTCTTCACTTATTAATTTCTATAAGAAAGGTCTTAGGTTCGAACCACATCCCAATTAGAGTTGGCATGATTGCTAAACATATACTACGAATATGTTAAAATGTATTAAAAAATATAATATAATATTTAACATAAACTTTGGTCAAATAATTAGCCGGACTAAATACATAGCAGTCAAAGTTTAGTATCAAATATTATAAATCATGAACTTTGAAAATCATTTGATTTTCTTGCATTAAAAAAAAACAAACAAATTTAGGTTTAATTTTTTTTGGTTTAATTAATCTTTTTTGATTATTTAGAACAAAACTTAATATTTCAATTATGCTTTTGCATTATTGAAGTGATTTAGGTTATTATGGTATTAATATTTTTTTTGTATGTATTTTTATAATGTTACAATTATACTTAATTACTTTGTAAATATTATACTATTTTTTTTATCGAACAAAATTGTTCTTACATCATCGTCAGACATGCGCAACATAACTACAAAGTTGTTGATCATAAATATAATTACATATGTACTCTAAAACGGTATGACCATTTTTCAGAGAATTGGCAATGTTGACATCCCACTGACTCCAATTGAACAAGTTTACACATAAGAATTTTATCAATACATTAAAACTTCTAAAGAAATTTGTAAGTTAATTTTTACTATATCATTATAACAATATCTATTGTAACCATATACTTTGAATTATTTATTATCATCCTCTATTGCCAACAATTGTAGCAATTGTCATTGACAAATTAACCATCAAAACAATATGTCTCAACAATGAATGAGAATTTAAAAAAATCAATGATTTCATTATTATGGATAAAAAGTATGTACGTCACTTTATTACTCTTATTAAATTATAAATAAATTAGTAGCTACAACAAAAATAATATATATGCATTTAATTAATTTAGAAATAGATGTCTATAATGTCATTATTTAAAAAAAATTATTCATTAAAAAAAATTAAAAAGATATATAATTTCATTAGTTTTATTATCTTTATTTTTTACAATTCAAAAATTCCTTACCTTCAAATTTATTAATTTATCATATTCACTACATTGTCCATTGTCTTTTTTTTTTTTTTTTTTTTTTTTTTACATTATCTTGTAATTAAATATTAAAGTTATAATACAAAATATGTTATATATATTAATTTACCAAATATTTTATACAAATATAATAAATATTAATATTTTGTTCAATACTTTCACATGATAACCTACGACACACATCTCACAACACATGAAATATGTAGGGGAAAAACTATCACTACCAAATATCAACATGTGATTGTAAGATAAAAATTTCATAGTACAACTAAGATCTCAGTCATATATACACAACAAAACAAATCTAAAACTTCCTACACCATAATGTCACTGCATAATGAACCCCTCTATGATATTGCCAGTAACCCAAGTGCACATGACACACTACCAATAAAAAGAATGACATGTACTCAAGATAAAGACAATTACAATGCTACCCAAAATAGAACTAATAAGAAGAATTAGAAAAATTACCCAAAAAAGAATTAAGAAGAATTAGAGAAATTTCAACCAAAATTAGTATTTATTTAGACTATCGCTTTTAGACTAAGTATTTAGACTAGTGTTATTACAAAGTTGCAAACATTTATTTTAGTGACATTATAATCATTCTCTCATATATTATCTTGCACTTATATACTTTAAATTACCGATTTAAATAAACAAATTCAACATTTATTTATCTATGCATGAACATCTCATATATAATATTGCATTGATATATTTTGAAATACTTATTTAAAAATAGTAATTGAGCATTATCTCATTCGTGCAAAGTGCGTAAAAAAACTAGTATTTATCATAAGTGACAATTTATTTTTAATTCAAATTGGTATTAAATTTTTTACAATAAGTATTACAATTTCTATCTTAAGTAACATTTTACATATAAGTATTATAATATTTAAATTAGAATTACACTTTGTAAGTATCACAATTTTAGTTATAAGTACAATATTTATCATTAGTAACAATCATTTTTATCCTAAATAGAATCACAATTTCATATATTAATATTACAATATTTATTTATTTATTATAAGTAACAATTTATTTATTTTAAATATATATTAAATTTTCTGTAATAAATATTATAATATTTTTGATAAGTAACAAACAACTATCTTAAATTCGACTCGCCTCACGGATTAAGATTTGTGAGACGATCTCACAAAAGTGTGACTCATTTGCAAAATTATATCTTTCATTGCTAATTGCACATGTAGCATAAATTTTTCCTTGACGTACAATAACATTTTGCAGCATTAAAGTTTGATTAGTGAGTTTCTTGTGAGTTGTAACATTAAGACATTTTAATTTAATATTCATATTTAAGGAATGTCTTTAATGAATTATATGAATGATTGAAGTTATACATTATATTGCTACCCAAGGTGAGCCATTGCATATAGTCTAACATTTAAAGGGACATATGAATGGATCTAGGTAGAGTGATATATGTATATTCAAAGATACCATACTTATTTAACTGAAGTATTTTGTGATTGTCCAATGAATTGTGTTTATTTTGGCATTATGTGTGTTTAAGTATTATCGAAAGTTGAAGTTCATTGTATATTGAAAGTTTAATATTTATTAAAATTCTGAATCTGTTATTGTTAACTCACGACATTAATGGTAAGTATATGTATGAACTTTTGCAGCTTTGATTAACCTTTTTACGTCTGGAAATGTTGTGGTTAAGTTTAATGGGTTGAACTAAGTAGAGACTATTTTGAACAAATCAAATTTCATATGGAGGCGTATTAGACCAAGATCTTGGATTACTATGGAAAACATTAAGTACTCCAAGCCAATTTTTCACAAAAGTTAACAAAAGTTGGGAATGGAAGTGAATCAGTGATTGATAATTGGTTAGTACACTTTTTCATTATTTTTCTTCCACCAGCAAAGTTTGCTCATCTCTAGGTGAACTATAACAACCTTAAGAAAAAGTGGAGATTTTTTAGAACTTAAACATCTAGCTATTACATCAGGAGGAAGGGATACTGAAGGAAATGAAGGATAATTCTGTTCATTTCGTATTCCATGATGGTTCTAATAGTAACAAGCTACGTTCAAACTAGGTAAGAGGAATGAAGAAGAACAAGGCCCCAATGAAGATTCAAGCAGGTCATATTCAAAAGGCTGTTAGGTGTTTCTTTTGTAAGAAAAGAAATGTAAAGAAATATTGTTCGAAAAGAAAGGTATAAATTATGTTTTTTTTTTTTTTTTTTTTTTTTTGTGCTTTGAATAAAATCTTATAGAAGTATCACATGATGGTTAGAGTCTTGTGCTTTTACTCATGTGTCTCATATTTTTCAGGGATTTTATTCGATCCAGCTCATAAAAGAACCCCGTACAAGTATTGTTCATGGGAAACAAGATGAAAGCACAGGTACGCCATGGTATAAGTATATTAAATTTCAACTATGGCGAGGAATTTATTACCAGTTAATCATTACCTTATATTGTTAGAATAATTTTGGTATATTAATAATTATAAGCATCTATCTATACTATACATAAAAATTAAACAAAATTCTCATTTTTAACTTCTCGCCCAAAACAGTCCTATACTATTAATATTTGCCTAATATTATAAAATAGTATAATACAATTCCTAATAGAATATATTGTTTCATATTTTCCTATTAGTACTATAATTCTACATTCAAATTCCTATTCTAATATTGTAAAATAGTCTTCACCAAAAAAAAATATTGTAAAATAGTCCTAATAGAATATATATATATATATATATATATATATATATATATATATTGTTTCCTACTTTCCTATTCCCGCCCAAAACAGTCGTATACTATTAATATTTATCTAATATTAGAAATTGTATTACACTATTTTACAATATTAGATAAATATTAATAGTATACGACTGTTTTGGGCGGGAATAGGAAAGTAGGAAACAATATATATATATATATATATATATATATATATATATATATATATATATATATATATATATATATATATATTATTTTCTGTTTTCATATTCGTACTATAATTCTTGAAAGTTGATTTTAGCGGTGATCTTTTCGTGAGTGTCGTCCTCTGGGAATGACTATAAGGGAATTGAGTAGAGAGGGGTTAAACACAATATCATTAAGTGTTTGAAAGCTAACCAAATTGAAATGTTTGTTTGCATAAAGACAATCATAAAACAAATAAATTTCTAAGTAATAGTCAAGGATAAAAGAGAGGACTTAGATCAAGAGTAAGTTAGAAATGTGCTAGGTTTGGCTATGGTGAATCCCTATTCTCATAGGTGAAATACCAAATCCAACGACCTTTTGCATAGTAGTGCCCTAACCAAACAAGAGTCCATACAATTCTCCAAATTCACAATCACATTCATTCTAGAGGCATAGAAAAACCTAGATTTGGCAATTCAATTCATGTTGGCATTCATACAAAGCAGTTCAATCTAAATCCCTAACTAGTTTAACTACTCATAATGTAATTGATAAACTAAAAGCAATTTATAAAGTAATATGCAATGAATTCAAACTACAAATTATGTGAAATGTAAAAGTAAGAAATTGAG